ATTATCTTTCTTGAATTATACATAGTTTTAATTGTACGATGTTTTTGTTAATTGAGAAACAATCTTTCCGATTCAAAATGGATCAAGTCAGCGTGCAGATAATTATCTCACTCTATTTCTGATTGACGTTTAGAAATGTCAAATTACGTTACCGTATAATGTTCCGTCTCTCTTTTATACTTCTAGCGTTTCGATATTTAATTCTTAAAGATGCATAGCTAAGATTAAAGAATGAATAGAAAATGACCGTATTGGATGCATCATTAAGATAGAACATACAAAACTAAAAAATACATATCACATTTTAGCTGTGCAATGTGTTATGTATTCTTGAAAATGTGTTTACGCTTGATCTGGCAACGCTGTATCGAACGATAATTGCGCATCGCTGTAATTGACCAATTTACGTTATGCTTTCGTTGCTCCCGCCATTTGTGCCCGGTACCTCTGTGTCTTTGCTCAAACTTCAACGTACTGAGTATTCCCAAAACTATAAAAAATAGTCCAATGTTACAATTCAGTGGTGCTTCGTCTGTGTAATACTTCTGGTGACACAGTATAAGATCTTTTAAAGAAGCTAAAACTGGTTATTTATTATAAATAGTAGACGTCATCTTTACGTCTAGAAAGTCACGTACTACTGACGTCTGTCATACGACCTCATCGCTTTGTGATATTATGAGGTCATTTTTACGTCACTTTTACGTCGTTTAACCCGTGATTTCCCATTTCATGACTAGTTTGTAACATCATTTTCACGTGCTTGTGCTTGGATAATAATTTATAATATATATGATTGCCTATCTTTAGTTAAAATACGTTAATCAATCCCAGTGAACATGATGATGTCAAAATGACGTCATTTTTGGTCGGAAACGTCACTGACTGAAAAATGACGTCTTTACTGATGCCACTTTTATGACGACAAGACGTCCTTTAAATAGCTCATTTTGACGTCGTCTTTAGGACAATCAGTACTGAAAAATCAATACTTACCTACAAAGAAAATATAGACTTTTAATGAACAGTAAGGTAAGCTATATATCCAAGCACTAATAACTACTTTATTGTTATTTATAAAAAAGTGTCAGGAATTCTTCGACCAAAAATATCTTGCTAATATTACTCTTCTAATAGTAATATTCCATGTTCAGATATTTCAAATTGCCATTTTATATCATGTTTCATTCCCGTTAATAACAAATTTATCAGAAACTCCTATGTAGAACAATAAAACAGTTTTACTAGAATATTTGTAATCAAAAAAATTCAAATTTTGGAACGGTGTATCTTTCAGCCGATCATCCGCGCAGAAGCACGATTGTGCTTGGCGGTGATCTGGAAGGATGTCCAAGCTCCATGCGTGCTCGCCGTTTGGCAATGGCTCGGCCATTTTGTTTAGAAATCTATGCGTTTGACCGACATCACGATGGCTTCGTCTTCTTTAACGTACATTGTGGTACAATTTAGTAGGGACGATAGTATTGCAACATAGTCAATAAGTCTTGGGTGATATCCAGTAAACAAGAAGTGTTAAAAAGCAAAGCGATTTTGATAAATTGCTACAAGCAAATTATAAGGCATCTAAGGACTGAAACGTGCTGGAGATCAAACGGTGGGTTTTAGTTCGTTATTAACCACTTCGATATACTTTGTTAACATGCTGTTGAAAAATTGCGGAGGTGATAACGATGTCTCGGAACGAGAGGCTTCAAATGTGGTAGATAAGTTGAATATGAGTTTCGGAGCCTCTGTCACTCCTGAAATCACTGGTTGTGCGGTTGTTTTTGCAAGCGACTCTACGTCACAGGGGCCGTTCAAGTATTACGTGAGCACTATGGGGGGGGAGGGGGGTCTTTGTTTTGCTTATTTTGGATGACATCGGGGGTAGGGGAGTCTAGATGATGATTACGTCATCGGTAGTTATTTACTTTTTTACACGAATGGCAATCCTCACATTGTCTTTGTTTGAAAACGAAAAGTATTTTCGAGGATTCCCGCAAATAATGCATACGTTTAGTGAACAGCGCGCGGTAATTCCCTTACTCCCTTTAGAACGGAGTAGGGGAATTACCGCGCGGTGTTCACTTGTCTAAATTTCCTCTATCAGTGTATTGTTTCATTTGGATACTATAGCGAGTAGACGTATTGTAAGCATAGTAAAACAAGTTAGCATTTGTGTTACCATTGATTCCATTAGAGAAAGTTTAATGTTTAAATAAGATGTCGTTTCACATAGACAAATCCAAGTTATACCAAAAATTGTTTGAAAGTTTTAAAAAATCTCTGACAAGTACGAAACTACAAAATGTACAAAAGTTAGATAACGAAGTGTGGCGAAATTACAAATTACAAGCAAAATCCGACAAGGAACTAGATATTATTGTATCTAACAGAATCGAAGAAGAATTACAAGCAGCGACTAAGAATACATCCAATCTACTAAATTTTTTTTCTAAGGTGAGTGACGAAATCATTTTAGGTACCTATTAGTACTAGAAATATTAGAAATCGCCAAAAAGTTTCTCTTTACTGATTAGAAAATATTATGGCCTATCTTTGTATTTATGTCGCTTAATAAGAGAATCTTTAGAAGAGGCCATAGAAAGTTTTTAATTTTAGGCAACCTGTAAACCTACAGAAAAAACACAAATTATATAGTCAGCTTCAAATATTAAAAAAAGAGGAAGAAGATAAAATAAAACCCGGTAATGAATCACAACAGCAATGCGAAATGAATGAAAATACAGATAAACAGAGAGCAAAACCTTCTCAGGAAGCTATGAAAAATAAGATTGCTATACTCGAAAGAAATCTGAATGCTTTGTATTCTGCCAGAGATACTATGCCAAGTCATGCTGAAGTTGATAAACAGATCATTAAGTTGCGCGAGGAAATAAAAACAGCAAAATAGTCTTTAAACAGGAAGGTTCAAAACGCAGTCGCCCAGAAGAAACACAGGGATGGTATGAAAAGAAAGTTAGAAGATATTTGTCATGAAAATCCAGAAATAAAAAAAGACTATCTCTGAGGGATTCAGTGGGACGTCCTAATCTTGAAACCAATCAACATTCACTATTGAAAACAATCGCGGATATAGCTTTATTTGGGAGTGCAGCAGATGATAGATAGAAGACGAACGGAATCAATTCGCAGCGTAAAAACTCTTGATGAACTCACACAAGAATTACGTAAAATAGGATTTTACGTTAGTCGCAGTGGGACATATCTTCGTTTGATTCCAAGAAAATCTAATTCTGCAGAGGGACGAAGACATGTATCGATAGTCCCTGTTAAGCTCATTTGGGCTCAAACTGATCACCACAAGAGCCATTTAGGTAGCAAGTTCGCTGAAACATCAATCCATTATTTAGAGAACATAGCATCCATACTTGGACCAGATCAAGTATTTTTCATACCTCAAGATGATAAAGCTCGAGTCCCTATTAGCGTAACTGCGGCAAATAAGCAAGCAGCTCTTCTAATGCACATAGAATATAGAATCAAATTGCCTTATCACGATTGGGTAATCGCTGAGCGTCATAAATTAATACCTGTTTATGCTGGTATCAAAATCACTTCCAATGTGCTAGGACAACCGCAAGCCGTTGGATATTCTGGACCAATATACATCGCTATTCGAAGTGGAAAGCATAGTTCATCTACTGCCAATACTCATGCACAGGATTTCGAGACGCTTCTCGACCTTGAAGAGTTTCGACCATTAACTAAAACTGACCATGGACTAGTAAAACCAGTGGTAATCATGACGGTTGAAAATCCACGTTATCAAAAAGTCATAGGGTTTGCTGTACAACACTTTAAGCGACATGATCTCGATGTATTGTTTTTAGCTACCAATGCTTCTGGAAGAAGTGCGTATAACAGAGTAGAGCGCAGAATGAGTCCTCTTAGTCGGGAACTGGCTGGTTTAATATTGCCTCATGACCATTTGGATGAACGTGGCGTTACAATTGATGAACATTTAGAAAGATCTAATTTCGAATTTGCAGGAAATGTATTAGCTGAAGTATGGAGTTCAATGGAAATTGATGGCTATAATGTTAATGCAAAATATGTTGGGGCAGGTGAACAAGATCTCCCTGATTTTCCAGACATTAAATGGTATTCAGAACATGTGCGTGAGAGCTAATACTTGCTTCAAATTGTAAAATCTAGAAATACAGAATGCTGTCGTCCAAGAAGTGGCCTATTTAGATTACTAGACAATAGGTTTCTTCCACCACCTGTAAAAGTAAAACAAACAGTTGATGACTTGGTTTTGGATGAAGGAGGGCAATTTCTTAATCTTCCAGTCAATTTAGCTCTACGCAAAGATTTCCTGCAAATGCCCTACGATTATTTTTGTCCGGCGGAAAATTGAGGCTATCAAGTCGAACATGCAAAACGTGTGGTCTTTATCATGCTTCCGTCAAGTCACTAAATCGTCACATCGAAAATATCCATAAAAAAGTAAATACGCACACTGATAGGAAAGTTAGACCTGTAAGAGTCGCTGCTCGTCGTGCTAATGACCTGATGTGCATTATTCAAAATTCAGAGCACCATGATGTTGAATGCCTCGATGAGAACGGCGTAGACATTCCAAAATCCGATGAAAGCGAGCAAACTCACAACACTGACAGCAATCGAAGCAATCCAATGTCATCGAAAACTTAGAACCATGGATTCGGGTTTCATGGACTGAAGACTGTTAATTTGAATTTAATATATGTACCAAACATTTAAAATAAGTTTGTTATGTTAGTAAGATATAATATGTTTGTCCTTTACTCTATGTTGAATACCGTATCAGTAAAATATAATCTCTATCTTAAATCTATTTTCTTGTTTTTCAAATTATAATTATAACGTTATTAAAAAAACAATACATTAATTGACAAATGTTTAGGTAAGCATGAGGGGAGGGGGTAAGAACTTTGCTTACTTTTGCTGACCGGGGGGATGGGGGGGTAAATAATTGAAATAAATCTGCTTACGTAATACTTGATCGGCCCCACATCGACGTCATATCGACCTCAGATACACGTGATATCGACTTTGAATTTGGTATTTTATAAGACATACTACTCGTATGACGTCATATACTGACATCAATTGATTGGGTGTGACGCTAGTCCGTCATCATGACGTCATTTACACGTCAGTTTTGTTGGTCGGCGTACGTCAGTAGTGACCTAAAAATGAATACCTTATATCGTCACCATGTCCACTGGGATGTTTATCGCCCCATGTAATTTTGAAATCAGCGGCATTTTGAAAATCAAAACAAACTGTTGAGTGAATGACTGCTTGAACTTTTGTAACGTCTAATGAAATTGCTTTGTATGATGTACCATTCCTCATTACCTTGATATCCGACCCGACACATATCTATCATTCAATTTGTGCATATCACATAGCGCATCACATCGAAATAAGCATCTAAAGGGTACGACCTACAGTACTATTTCGGGAGAATGTACGACAATCGTCTGTCTGAGCAGCAGCGACTTCGATTTTCGGACATCCTCGTTTCTCGAGTATTTCTTCTGGGAGTCCCACAACAGGAGTTGGTCCTCGGAAACTTCGCTCTCAACGTCCGCCGAGTTCCTCCGGTACTGCCTGCTGCTGGAGCCTTCCGAAAGGTCCGAGGAGTCGCTTGAACGGTTGCTGGTCGATATGTTCGTTGTGTTGTCTTGACCTGGTACTTCAGTGTCCTGAATGGTGAGAATTGCAATTTATAAAAAAATCCTTAAATAAAGTTTAAACTGAAGTACGGGAATGACGGGGCACAAACTCGATCAATGAGAAGGTATTTTTGAGGTACTGAATCCAACGAATATACTCGTAGTGCATTTCTTGTAAAATATTTCTCAATGTAGAGAACAATTATACGATTTATGTAAGGCGAGTCTCTAATTCCCATATTAAATCGAGAAATACTTTATAAATCACCTGATTTAGAGAGAACAAAGCTATTTTTTCATTTGTACTTGGACAAAATATTTGCAGCTATCGACCGAGGTGATACCACCCGCTAGTCTTATCAATGTCCACATGTTTCCACACTTAAGCTACGAAGTTGGTTATCATCCCTAACAAAGAAATCAATGATGATAGATCCCTCGAGTACTAAGAATTCCGGACGTAAGCTTACTCCTCTTCGGGTGGAGGGTGTTTTTCGAAATAATGGATCTAATAAATATGGTTTCGAATTATTTTGATATATCTCTTAAACTAGAAAAAAATCCCGATTACATTTTAAATGGTTAGCTACAAAAACCTATTTTTGCAATTGAGCCCGAAAATTTGCGGCTATGGCGCAAAATCCACCAATCGGAAACAAGTTTCATACAATAATAATAAATTCGTCTTTATTAAATACATGCAAGCACATACAGATCTAACATCAGTGGCGAAGTTTAGCCGTGGGCTATTCTTACATTTAACCACTAGTGCGGAACGGTATACGATGTATACTATAGTCAACGCCAAACAAAGTGGCGTGCACGTCATCACGATAAAAATTCCCCGACCTAATGCCTAGGTTTCTATCACAAACAATTGCTCTATTGCAGTTTCATATCAATGTGATATATAAATTGTAAAATGGTCATTACTCTCTTATTATGGTTAATAGTCATATAAACATTGTTATTAAAATATCACATAAGTTGCTTTCTGATAAATTTAGACGCATTATGCGAAATAAAATGTTTTGCAAACGCTCCAATCACTTATCGACATGTAAACGCACTAAACCGATTTCGCAGCGTTGACACATTGTCACCTTGAAACTTATTTAAACTGGGAACTGACATTTGTATTAATTTTGACACTGAATCAATTTGTGGCATTTCAAATCTTTATAAACCCTTTGGCCCCGCATACTGTAAATCAACAACTGTTTGTTTCAAAACAAAATTATTCATTTTACGAGTAGATAAAGGCAATTTTGGTATATAAAGATGCCCAAACAGTTAAATAGTCGGTGTAAGGAACTCGTGGCCTCGTTAATGCACTACTTTGAGCAAGAAAGGGACAACAACGGGCCTTTGTTGCCTTTAAATGCTGTTCAAGAGGTAGGTTACTAATAATTATATGTAATGTATATTAATAATAGTGAAATTTTATTTCATTTTTTGTAGCGTGTTGCTGCTGCTTTAAAAATTAGTTTAAGGACAGTTAGTCGTATTTCCGAGGGCGTGAAAAGTGATGCAAATTTAGAATCGCCCAAGAAAAAGCGGAGTTATATTAAACGTGTAACCAACACAGCGACATTGGATACAAGTGCCATTCGAGAAGTGATCTAACATATAATATGTATCACAAAAGTAAGATCTTATTATAATAACTTATCAGAAATTTGCATTAATTTGTTAACTAAATTATAATGTCATATTACACATGGTTTCAGAAGAACAAGTTACGATACAAACTTTATGGTCTCGATTAAGAGATAGGGCATTATTTGATGGTAGTGCCACGTCTTTAAGGCGGTTGCTTAGAGATCTTGGATTTAAGTGGCTTAAGGACAATCCGCGACGAGGGCTCATGGAACTACCAAGTATAGCTTTAAAAAGGGTGGAATTTCTAAGGCAATACAATCAAGCCAAGGTTGAGGCCTTATACCAGTTTGTCTTCCTCGATGAAACTTGGATATTTCAAAATGGGACCATAGGTCGCTCTTGGCAAAATGGAAACCAAAAAAGCGTGAAAGCTATTAAAACAGATGGTAAAAGGTATGTACTTTTACACAATTTGCACTATAAAATTTAAAACTAATATATTTTAGATACATTATATTACATGCTGGAAATGAAAATGGGTTTATTGAGGGTAGTGAAGCGATATTTTCTTCGAAAACAAAATTGAGCGATTACCATGGAGAGATGAACCAGGACAATTTTTGAAATGGTTTCAACATCAGTTATTAGAAAAATTGGAGAGTCCATCTATGATTATACTGGATAACGCCCCTTATCACAGCATGATATTGAACAAAGTGCCCAACAATGCATGGACAAAAAAAATATCCAAGACTGGTTGACAAATCAAAACATACCATTTTTAAACACAATGTTTAAAACAGAGCTATTGAGTATTGTTGCTGGGTACATAATGCTTCTTAATTATATATATTTTGGTCGACAGTTTATATTTCTTTTGTTTATTCCTATTCTTAAAATAACTGCTTTTTTAGAAACAAACCACCTAAAATATACGTGATTGATGAATTGGCGGAACAACATGGGCACAAAGTTCTTCGTCTGCCTCCTTACCATTGTATATTTAACCCTATTGAGTTAATTTGGGGCATAGCAAAAGGTTACTATAACAGACATATTGGTAGAGATGGTAACAGTGAAAAAGACTGTTTGGATATGTGGAACGAGGCTCTACAAACGGTTACCCCAGACATGTGGAAAAATAGTGTTCGACATACTGAGCAAGAAATTTTTAAATGGTATGAAAGAGAACGAATTTTTGATCGACCAGACATCGAACCTTTAATAATCAACTTTGAGAGTGATGAAGATTCAGATTCAGACAGCGCTGAAGAAAGAAACTCCGACTAACTTTATTGTACAGAAAAAGCTTACACCAGTAGCTTACCTAATTTTAGAATGCATTTTTCTGTATGAATTCTGTAAAATAAATACCATGCATAAAATTTGGAGGACCCCATTTGGATTTTTATTCAGTACCTTTAAGCTATCAATTAAATATGGTAGTTTCATAGTGTCATCTGATCAATAATTGTCATACTTAATGATTATGCAAGTACAGATCTATAATTTTATTACACTATTATTTTTGTTCTCATTTGAGGTTAATATTGCTTATAAACCTAGATATGTAAATAATAAATTTTATTATCTTACAAAAAGTTTGGCAACAATGTAAATTTTTCAACACACCCACCTTGATGACGTGCACGCCACTTTGTTTGGCGTTGACTATATAGCATGAGAAGAACAAAACAATACAAAATACAAGGTAACTTATACAGAGTGTTCATTTGAAAACTTCCCATCACGGATTTATTGAAAAATACTGATTAAAAGAAAAAACGCCGAGATACGAGAATCTCTCAAAAAATATTCTAAATAATTGTTTCAATATAAGTGGAGAGAAATTATTAATATTGGTGAATCATTGTTTAGTACATGGTGAATTCCCATCAAAATTAAAGTGTGCCACCATTACTCCTGTGCCAAAAGTTCAAAATTCTCAGCTGTATACAAATGTGCGACTGATTAATGTCTTGCCCGTTGTCGAGAAGCTGTTCGAAGGCATAATATACGAACAAATCATAGAATTCATTGAAGAAACCAAAATATTGATAGAAAATCAAGCTGGATTTAGAAAAAAATGTTCCACAGAAACGGCAATCCAAATGGTGGTGGAGAAGAAGTATAGATGAGAAAGAATATATTGTAACAATATTTTTAGACTTCAAAAGGGCATTTGAGACTATAGATACGGAAAAATTGTGAATGAAATTGCGTCACTATGGCTTTAAAGGATCAGTATTACACATTTTACAAAATTATATAGTAAATAGAAGTCAAAAAACTAAAGTTGGAAATATTATGTCAAGTGTTCAAAATATATCAGTAGGGGTGCCACAGGGGAGTAAATTAGGGCCGTTACTATTTATTATTTATATAAATGATATCTGACATTTTACATATATATACACTTATAACGAGTAGGAAAATAATGGGCAAAATCCGCAAAAAGGAGGAAAGTGGATTCGAGCAGAAAATAGGATAGGTAACCCGAGCGATACGTATTTCCGCTGGTTGGCTTCATCAGGCCCGAAATGAATGCACATATGAAACTACAAAAGTAGATACACATGCCCACACATCCGGATACGGGTGTAACCTGAGGAAACGCAGTTCCTTTTTGCGGATTTTGCCCATTATTTTCCTACTAGTTGTTATATACCTTTCTCCGCATGATCATATTCTCTATACACATATATATATATATATGATATATATATATATGATATATATATATATATATATATATATATATACAGGGTGACTTCGAAGTTGAGTCATTTATTTTAACAGTGAGTAGATCTGATCAAAAGAAATGTTTTTTTCCTTTACTATTTTCCTGGTAAAATTAAAGTAACAAAGTTATAGCCCTTTGGAAGTTTGAGTACCGCCCTGTCTCAATAATAATATTATGTGGTCGTGTTTGGCGACAACGGATATAATCCGCCGTATCGGTTCATCGCATCGGAAACAAAAAAGCGAAAGAATTTGGAACGATGTTTTTACAAGTATTTCATTCATTTGTATACAGTCAGTGTTAGTGAATAGTGGTATCTGTTGCGTGGCTCAAACGAAATAAAAATGGCACATGTTTATGCGGATCGGTTTCCCAATCGAGTGCAACCAACCCCTCGTGCCTTTGTTAATGTAGTACAACGGGCTCGTGAATCAGGTGACTTAAGACCTCACAGGGGACCTCACGATCAAATACAGGTCCGCACTGAAATACTTGTCGGGAGGATACTTTATAAAACAAGGTAAAAAATTTTTTTATTTTTTTTTTATTTTTACACACATATTTTGGTTTATCTTCCTTCTACAATCATTATCTGAAAATTAATGACTCAACTTCAAAGTCACCCTGTATATATATCAAATAAAGACATTGAAACTTCAATAGAGCTGTTAAATAATGATATGAAAAACGTAATAAGTTGTTTAAATCTGAATAAACTTAAACTAAACACAAACAAAATAAAATATATGCTAATAGGAAAATCTTTAGATCAAAATACGATAAAACTTACAATTAATCATGAAAAAATTGTGTCAATCGAATCACTTAAATATTTGGGCATATTCGTAGACAGTAAATTAACATTTTAAGGGCACGATGAATATATTATTTCAAAAATATCCAAGAAAATAAATTACTTTTATAGAATTTCGCATAGCCTAAGTGTTTATTCTAAAAAAATTTTATCAATAGATTAATTTTTACTATTCCAAGATTTTTACGAAGGTGTTTGACAGCAAATTAATTGCTTCTTTCCCTTAGCAACAAATAACTACACAGATATAACAATAAATACAGTCCTCCCAGGATATCTGTGTTGATGAAAATACGGAAAAATTCGGGTTGTTATTTGGTTGTTGCCACGTTTAATCTTTCGAATTGCTGTTTATGTTGGTAGTTTCCGTTTTGAAGTATAAACGAATTTAGATTTGGAAAACCCTAACGGGCAACATTATGAACGCTTATTGAAATCAAAAGTGATGGTTTCTCGAAAACGAATCGACTAATCTCAAAAAATCGTCACAATAAAGGACTTCGAAATACCTTTCAAACAAGCTATTACTCGATACCGCTTGTCATTTAAAATTTTTAAGGGAACGATCCTGGGTGTGGGGCGGGGGTCGAGGGTGAAAGGGAGAAGTAGTTTTGATTAAAAAGTTGTCCTTCTTGACAAATCTTTTGATGTTTCTCGGCATTTTTCTTTCATTCAGCGGTTTTTGATAAATCTGTGGTGGGAAGTCTTCAAATTAACACCCTCTATAACATGAATGGTAAGGTAGAGCAAAGTACAAACTATGAATTGCTACACACTTAAAAAAAAGAAATAAAAGAGAAAGAAAAGAAGAATGCCTATGGCAAATGGGTCAATATTATGCAATGACTATGCATAGTGTTTTCCTTTATGACTATGAATAATAAACATGTGATATATTTCCTAAACTGATTTGAGGACATCACTTTAGAGTTAACATATATGCTATTATAAATACTAGCATCATTGTAGCTCTTTCACATAATTAAACCTACTTTAGGCTGCAACTGTTTCCACTTCTCCATCAAACTTTGATTTTGCCTGAGCAGATTCTTCTTTATCGGCGACGTTCTATCGCTCTCCTCTGACATTGCCCTAGTTATGAGTATCTTCGGTGACACTGCCTCCGAGACGTTTCTCAATACTGTCGTTGCTTTTTTAACTCCTTTATCTTGGTGCTCCAACCCTAGGAATTTTTGAATGATCGCGTTCGCAGAATAGTACTTGGTGGGACTGCTCTTCTCTTTCAGTTTTATGTAGATTTCTTCTTCGGTGACTGTCGAAACTTCAGTCTCATTGCTTGGCACCTGTGGAACAATTTCGGCGTATTTACAAACTTTTATTATTGTTTAACTTGATCTGTTAGTATGTTAGTACGAGGGTCACTTTGTATTGTAAACAGTTTTATTGAGTTTATTTTATAGTTTTCATCGTTTTACTCTTCCCAATTCAGGATGTTTCTTTTATATACTAAGTGACATATAAATCCGAACACCCAGCTTAAATGGTTTTATTTTAATAAAAGTCGGTGAATGTATTTATGTTACTGTAAATAACAAGTGAAAAAATGATCAGCCTTATCAGTTGGACATTCCGGTTTTTATACTGCTTTTTTTTTAATTCACTAACGCTCTAAAAATGAATATTTCGGCCGCAGTAAAGAATCAACGTTGGCGGATTTTGGTTCTTGACATCCTTTACGATCGGTTACGATGCCTAGAGTACGGAGACCTGTACGATTTCGTCAACTTAGTGAGTTTGATAGGGGCCATATAGTGAGACTTCGGGAAGCTGGACTTTCTTTTCGGGCAATTGCAGTTAGAGTGCAAAGAAGTGTAGACACTGTGGTTAGGTGTTGTCAGGCATGGCTTCGAGAAGGCCGTACGCAAAGAGCAAGGGGCACTGGACGCCGCCGTAGAACAACAGACCGTGAAGATCGCCGCCTAAGATTATTGGCCTTAAGGGACCGTTTCTCCACTACCAGGTCCATTGCAAATGAATGGTTTGCAGAACAAGGAAGACCTATTGGCATGCGAAGTGTTAACCGACGAATGAGAAGTTTTGGCTTGTTTTCATACCGGCCACACTGGGTCCTCCCTTTAACTCGAGAACACCGACGTAATCGCCTTGAGTGGTGCAGACAACGGTCACTCTGGGATCAGGAATGGAACAGTATTGTCTTTAGTGACGAGTCTCGATTTTGTTTAGGCATGCACGATGGTCGTGCCAGGGCTACTACTACTACAAATCCGAACACCCAGTTTAAATGGTTTTATTTTAATAAAATTTTGTAGGTATAAGTACTTAATGAAGCATAATAAGTAAATGATAAAAATTTCAAAATGATTGCACTGCTTTAAAGCCCTTTGACCTTTAATAATATGTGGATGCACCCTGATGTGCTACGCATTCTCCAACGCGCCTAGGCATGCTTCTGATCAGGTGGTCAATGTCCTCCTGTGGTATCTCATTCCAGGCAACCACCAACTCCTCTCGAAGTGCTTCTAGAGTCTGAGGAGGACGTTGCAAATTGAGCAATCTCCTACCCATCATATCCCACACGTGCTCAATTGGGGATAAGTCGGGAGATCTTGGTGGCCATGGTAACAATGTGACATCATTATGTTGAAAGAAGTCTATTGTGACTCTTGCAACATGTGGTCGGGCATTATCTTGTTGGATCTGCCAGGGTGTCAAGATAGGGTAAAAGATGGGGTTCTAGAACTTCGTGGATATAACGTTGCGCGTTCATGTTACCTCTGATGAAGATTAAAGGTGACCTGGAACCATAAGCTATAGCACCCCAAACCATAACTCCAACAGTGTGATTAACATGTCTTTCAACAAAAAAACTGTGGATTCCTCCTTTCACCACGTCGCCTTCTTCACGGTCTGTTGTTCTACGGCGGCGTCCAGTGCCCCTTGCTCTTTGCGTACGGCCTTCTCGAAGCCATGCCTGACAACACCTAACCACAGTGTCTACACTTTGCACTCTAACTGCAATTGCCCGAAAAGAACGTCCAGCTTCCCGAAGTCCCACTATACGGCCCCTATCAAACTCACTAAGTTGACGAAATCGTACAGGTCTCCGTACTCTAGGCATCGTAACCGATCGTAAAGGATGTCAAGAACCAAAATCCGCCAATGTTGATGCTTTACTGCGGCTGAAATATTTATTTTTAGAGCGTTAGCAAATTAAAAAAAGCAGTATAAAAACCGGAATGTCCAACTGATAGGGCTGAACATTTTTTCACTTGTTATTTACAGTAAGATAAATACATTCACCAACTTTTATTAAAATAAAACCATTTAAACTGGGTGTTCGGATTTATATGTCACTTAGTATACATCAGCAATCCTGTGTTGAAAATGTGGATTCCTGATTTTTCTTTCAAATAAGTATACTAATTTATTCAGCACGTTCTAATAGACATTTTTTGATCACGCCATCTTGACAGATTAAAATATTTTTCCGCCCTGTAAGTAAGATGGCGGATTTTAGGTTATTCACAAAGTCCTTTATAGCGCCGCCATTTTAAAACTAAAATGTCACATATCGTTGGAAAGGGAATTTTGCATAGAGTACCATTATCCATCTGAAAAACGAAAGCCAAGGTCATTTCCGGTCAAACCGGAATGGAGAGATAACCCATTCAACTTACAAGAAATGCCTCTGACTGACCAACTAAACATGTCCCAATCTTGGGGCTTGAAAAAAGTACAGCGTTTGTCCAATTTTCATTGGCACCCGGTATAGTGTTGTGCATAATATTTGTTGTAAATGCTAATAGCTCCATCCAGTTGATCTTAAATAAACCCTAATCAAACTAAATTTCTAGGGAGAGATTGAAAAATGGCTGTGTGTAAGAATAGTCATAAGTTCAATACCCGGTTAGACTCCGTAATAGTTGTAACTTGTAATTTGTAACTAACGGTCTATACGTGCAGACCCGAATAAAGTTTTTAAAAAAAGTCTTTTTCAAACCTACTGAATTAAAGATGTAATTTCATTGCAGTAAAAATTATTATTATTTTGTGCGTGGGTTTATCTGAAAGTGAAGATACCTGCAGTGTGTTGCAGCTAGTAGTTTGGACGAGACGTCTGTCATATTCTTCTTTAGGCGACATGTTCAAACTGCTCGAAGAAGGCGGTCTCCACGTAGCCTCGGATGCTATTCTTTTTATTTTGTTTCCTTTGCTAGGGCTCTTCAGGGCTCTGTTCACATCTATTAACGTTTCGGATAACCTTCTCTGGATGGAAGGCTTGGTTAAAAACCTTCAATAAAAAAGAGATGAAATAGATTTATATAAAATTGATGGGCAGATACGGCACGATAAATTGTAAACAATTTGTATACGAGTACGTATACAGGGTGTCCCAGAAGTCGACGTCAAGCCGAAACCGGGTGATAGGCAAAGTAATAACAGCTATCAGCAAAATATTTAAAAAAAAATTATGTATGTGTTTTGAAAATTATAGGTCTATGAAAAAACTATAGAAATTTCACACCCTACGGCAGTCTGTCAACTCCTGTTACTACAAATATTAACTTTTTTTGGATTTGATTTTTACAATGTAATGATGAATAATGCATCTTCTAACTGGTGTCTCAACCTTACTGCCAACTTTTCTCGTTCAGGAATAATTGCCACTTATTTCCCAACCAAGTATTCCAAAGTAAAACTTTGCTCAACTTTAACTGGCTGTACTGGAAAAAATGTACTACGACAGTTTGGAAAGTAACCTTGAAAGTTGGCGCATTTAATAACGATTCCAAAATGGTATAACACTTAGAAGATTACTCGTTAACTTATGCACAATTTTTATTTGAAGAAAAACTGATGAAAATTTTTCAAAATTTCCTAATTAAACAGCGATTATGAAAACGCACAAGGACCCTTAAGGATAACTGTACAACAGTGGGCGTCAAAATGCTGCTGATGATGATTTACCTTTACAGCAAATGCTCAAACTGTTTTCCTTCAGCCGCAATACACGCTCGACATCTTCTTCAAAAAGATCGGGTTATTAAACGAGCGAATCCACGGTTATTAACAAACTCAGCTGCTTCCAATAGTCTTTGCCGTAGCTCAGCTACATTTTGAATCGGCTTGAAATACACTTTTTCTTTTACAATTCCCCAGTAAAAAAATCTAAAGGATTCAAATCAGGTGATCTGGCTAGCCACGGTATTGTACCAGACCGCCTTATCCATCTGCCTGGAAAGTTTTGATCAAGATACTCTCTCACTGAGAGTGCATAGTGCGCTGGGCAGCCATCATGCTGAAACCACATGTCCCTGTAAATGCTCAGTGGCACGTCCACCAATAAATTTTGTACATGATTTTTCAAAAAATCCAAATAAACTTCAACAGTCAAAGTCTCTGGGAACTCAAACGGACCGATTATTTTACCATTTAAAATTCCTGTCCAATGGTTTATCTTGAAGCGATATTGAGATTTATCTTCTCTCATCAAATGTGGGTTTGCTACGTGCCACTCGTGTAAGTTATGCAGGTTCATGTACCCATCTTTCTTAAATATGGTCTCATCCGACCATAAAATTTTTTCAAAGAACTGTGGATCTTTCCTGTGTCTTTCTGACATTGTGCGACAAAAAGCAACTCGGGGCTCATAATCCCGGGGCAGGAGAGGTTGAACACACTGTATGTGGTATGGATGAAGCACATCACTTACTTGCTATTGCACACTTTGATACCGATCAGTACTCCTTCGTTTACTGCGCATCTTTACATGTTCGTGCTTGTTGATTTCGTACTGTTACTAATTTTGGATTCGTGAACTGGACTGTTGATCGCTTGTGATTTGGATTTGGACTGTTTAATTGCTCTTCAAAACAACATTTGCTTCCCTTAGACTATCTTTGATAGTGTGATTGTGCAGTGCCGCTATGTCCGTGTACACCGTACAGGAATATGCTAACATGCACCTCATTTATGGGGAATGCAGATGCAACGCTAGTGCTGCAGCGAGACTTTACTGTGAGAGGTACCCGAATGCAGCTCGTCATCCAGATCATCGAGTGTTCACAAATGTGCACAGCTTACTGTTCTCAGAGGGCCAACTACCAAACCAATCACACGGTGAGGGAAGATCTTTCCTTCCTTATGAAGACGTGGTGCTAGGAGCTGTCGAAGAAGACCCGAGTACTTCAGTGCGTGCAATAGAACTAAAAACAGGTGTGCCCAAAAGTACAGCCCATAGAATCTTGCAAAAAAACGTGCTTCATCCATACCACGTACAGCGTGTTCAAACTCTTCTGCCCCGGGATTATGAGCCCCGAGTTGCTTTTTGTCGCACAATGGACACAGGGAAGATCCACGGTTCTTTGAAAAAATTTTATGGTCAGATGAGACCACATTTAAGAAAGATGGGTACATGAACCTGCATAACTTACAAGAGTGGCACGTAGCAAACCCACATGTGATGAGAGAAGATAAATCTCAATATCGCTTCAAGATAAACCATTGGACAGGAATTTTAAATGGTAAAATAATCGGTCCGTTTGAGTTCCCAGAGACTTTGACTGCTGAGGTTTATTTAGGTTTTTTGCAAAATCATGTAGAAAATTTATTGGAGAACATGCCACTGAGTATTTACAGGGACATGTGATTTCAGCATGATGGCTGCCCAGCGCACTATGCACTCTCAGTGAGAGAGTATCTCGATCAAAACTTTCCAGGCAGATGGATAGGGCGGTCTGGTACAATACCGTGGCCAGCCCGCTCACCAGATTTGAATCCGTTAGATTTTTTTTACTGGTGAACTGTAAAAGAAAAAGTGTATTTCAAGCCGATTCAAAATGTAGCTGAGCTACGGCAAAAACTATTGGAAGCAGCTGAGTTTGTTAATAACCGTGGATTCGCCCGTTTAATAACCCGATCTTTTTTAAGAAGATGTCGAGCGTGTATTGCGGCTGAAGGAAAACAGTTTGAGCATTTGCTGTAAAGGTAAATCATCATCAGCAGAATTTTGAATCCCACTGTTGTACAGTTATCCTTGAGGGTCCTTGTGCGTTTTCATAATCGCTGTTTAATTAGGAAATTTTGAAAAATTTTCATCAGTTTTTCTTCAAATAAAAATTGTGCATAAGTTAACGAGTAATCTTCTAAGTGTTATTCCATTTTGGAATCCTTATTAAATGCGCCAACTTTTAAGGTTACTTGCCAAACTCTTGTAGTACATTTTTTTCCAGTACAGCCAGTTAAAGTTGAGCAAAGTATTACTTTGGAATACTTGGTTGGGAAATAAGTGGCAATTTTTCCTGAACGAGAAAAGTTGGCAGTAAGGTTGAGACACCAGTTTTAAGATGCATTATTCATCATTACATTGTAAAAATAAAATCCAAAAAAAGTTAATGTTTGTAGTAACAGGAGTTGACAGACTGCCGTAGGGTGTGAAATTTCTATATTTTTTTCAAAGACCTATAATTTTCAAAACACATACATAAAATTTTTTTAAATATTTTTCTGATAGCTGTTATGACTTTGCCTATCACCCGGTTTCGGCTTGACGTCGACTTCTGGGACACCCTGTATATCCTAGAACGTATAGTTTTATTCAAAGTCACTGCATGTTGGACGGCTTAAAATTGCGTCCAAAGGTGCTTGACTAACTTTTTCAAACAAATTGCAAATAAATTGGTTAAGGCTTTCGCGGCCAGTTGATAAACTGCTGTCTTGATTCGGGTCTAAGGCCCGTATCGTCAGTCGTCCCTAGAATTATAGGGCGCGTTTATGGCCTCCTTGATTGTCATACTGCTTTCTCTCCTTCAAAAAATTCTAGATTACACTTGTCCCGTGTCAGCGTCAGCGCTCTCCTATTGTGAAGATATGTTTTCTTTTTAAATTGTAGGAAATTTGAGGCTGATAAAACATGATATAACTCAAAAGCAAGCACAATTTGATGCAAACAGATGTTTGTGACATAACCTCAACATAGAGCGCTGACACGGAGAAGTAGAAAACTATGACAGTCAAGGAGGCCATAAAGGCGCCCTACAATTGTAGGGAGGACTGACGATCGGGCCTAAAGGCCATCGTCGGTTGGAATTTCTTCCTAACGTTTCGCTAGCACGAGTGGCAAGCTTCTTCAGAGGTCCTTCCATTTCCGATGCTGGATGTAGACTCAGCTTCATTGGCAGTGAACAAGATAGTTGAACAATATAGTAAATGAGGTAGAATAATTGTATTATAAACTATTTTCTTGGAATAGGTACCAAGTAAAGCCCTATAAAAGTAATTTGATTTTCTGGCAATTTTTGAAATGTTTTCATAGTGACCTTCAAACTTTAGTTTACTATCAATATATATACCTAAGTATTTAATTGATTCAACATTTTCAATTATTCATCCATTTATCCTAACTGTGATAGTATTTTCATTTTTAGGTATTTCCCTATTAGCATACATTTTGTTTTAGAAGTATTCAATTTTAGTTTATTTACACCAATTTACGATTTTTGCCGTCAGAATTTAGCATTTTTAAAGCAGTGTCTATATTTTGATCTGATATGTATATTAATATATCATCTGCAAATTATCGAAGTTTACAATAATCTAAAATATTACAAATGTCATTAATACACCTATATTAATATCAAACCCTCTACATTGCTTTGTGCTTCTGTTAATGGATATTTGGAAAATATTTTGAACAGTTTTAAACTGTCGTTCTTTCACATTACTTTTTGAGATTGAAAGTGGCGTATTTTGCATTATTTCAATATTTCAATTTAAGAGAAAAGTTCATAAGTGGCCTTTTATATTAATGATCAACAAAAAACTTCGGAGCAAAAAAACAACTTTTGGAATTTGTTTAAGGAAATGTTTTAAACAATTTTTGACGCAATTTCGGACATTAGAACATGCAGATTCATTAATCAGGATATTTTTTTTAATAAGCTTGTGAGAAAAAGAGGAATCAGAATATTTTCCCGAGCACATGCGAAGATACTTTCTGGAGTACATCGAAACTTCAACAAGTTGAAAAATCTTAAAAGTGTTATAACGCGATTTTCTGGTTCTTCGACCTTCTTCCAATAATACTCGTAAATTCTCAACATTTACAAAGGTTTTTCTGAATTTCTATACATCTGTTTGACTGAGCTGAAGAAGAGAAGACTAGCAACGACTCCATCTCTGACGAGAGACCTGAGGGTTCCCAACTAACAATTATCATTCCTCTTAGAGTTGCGAGAATGATTATACAGTATTCCTTACACAGCATTGTATACTGTAAGAACATTGGCAAAA